AACGAAAATTTGAAAAACAACGGCCACAAAAGCAGTGACAGCCATAGCACCCTTTCGAAACCAATCGGATCTATAAATATGAAATGTTGATAAAGTGTTCTTGATGACAATCACTTGGATTTTCATTTTGTTGTCCATTATTTCTGCGGCACAGTTGAAATGAAAATCCACTTAATGTTTAATCCGTTTCTATATATTGAACGTTTGGAACGTTGGGTCTATGATTATTCAAATACGAAGGTGCCATTAACATGAACACACTCACTCCGATACGGAATGATGAACTCCAAAGTGTGTGTTGAATTATTTTATGTTGTGATGGATATGGCCGAGTGGTTTATATTTTTGTAGAAAAAAGAAACCAATCGAACTGAAACTGCATGACATTATCCAGATTGAGAAATATAAAGGGAAGTTTCACGAATAAATTTATATCAACTTCATACTGAATGAACAAATTAAATTATGAGTAAAGCAAGAGTTTGAAACCATATGAGCTGGTGCTCATTTGCCAAAAAATTAAATATTCAAGAATTATCAAATGGTTGCAACTGGGTTTTAAACAAAAAATCTTACCTGGTCGCATTGAAATTAAATCAAGTGCCATTATCTATTTACCGGAATAGAATTCCATTCTGATTATGTTCGAAATGTCAAAATAAGCTAAATATCTAAATCTATTTTCGCTGTAATTAAATTGGTCACAATGCACATGATGCAATGCAATTAATTATAATGTGAATTTGGTTATAACTGAATGTGTAATCGAACACACAGCGGAAAGTTATTTAATTAATTGAGCATATTAACCACATGAATCGCCTTAAATCATCTTATTAATCAGGTTCTCATAATGATGAGCGAGAGAGAGAGAGCCGCATATAAATGCATTGGATAAGTCTAATTTTCAGTACTTTGGCAGGAAGTTAAATACCATTGTACGTCTAAATCACTTCAGTTCCATTCAACTATTCCATAAAATATGAACCACAACCGTTCATCGCAAATATCAAATGGAAGTCTTGTGCATGTTTCACACATAAATTATATACTTATATCGTTCCACTTGCATTAAAATCCATTTACTTATGTGCTGGTGTGCAAAATCGTTGTTCATGTGCCTACACGTCCATCGAATTTGTAAGTGTTTGCTTGTGTGTATTTTGTGTGCGGCAATGTACTACTTGCGTATGCATCGTGCCAATTCATATGAATTCCAACGAAAACGAGTACATTTGTCATTATTGCAACGATGCATATTCTGGCGTATTTGAAAATCGTGATATATGCACGATGTTTGGCAATTTTGCGAAACTCTCAAACCTCAAATATGTTAATAAATACGAAGTCGTTACGAAATTGAGCAGTTCTCATCGAAATCACTTTATTGATTCGCAATTCCAATTTCAAATTGATATGAAAATAAAATGGCCCGTCCAAATCAAAAGCACTGTGATGGAATGCGTTATTAGGTTTCATGTGTGAACAATTGAAAATGGTTTAATTCTCGCACGTCCGTTCGCTCATGCCGTCGCTTCTTATCGGTGCACTCTCTATGCTTGTCGCTTGATGCTTCGAAATTCGACAAATTTTAAATGCATGTGAAATGATAAATGACATTGATGGCATTTAATTCAATCATCATAATCAAATTAAAATAGAATCAAGGATACGGACAACATCAGCATCATTTGCCGATTTTGCTAATTGCATTTGGCCAAAAGATTGGATTTCAGGCCATAGCCAAGGAAAATGATACTTAAATAAGCATATTAACACATAATTGATTCGGATAGTTCTCTATTCATCTTGACATTGTACACAATTCGAGATTTTCTTACTTTGATTGAATTCATCTTGGCTTTCTACACAATTTTCGCAACATTCAACTCTCTGTTCCAACTCTATTTGTTGGAATTTTGGGAATTTCCCATCAACCCATTGAAATTAAGGCTACAATTAATTTAAATAGTCTATTGTTGAAAATATAGGTGGAGGCGGTATTACACAAAATCCATCACTGTTTTCCGGTATATCAACATTTTATTACAAATTTAACCTCAAAATCGTTGATGGTTGCTAACCACGTATAATCGCTTTGAAAACGCAAAACACATGCACGCACAAACAAATATGGACCCATGGCAATCTTCATTTCATGAATTTAAATTTACACCGGTGTCCTTGTGGTTTGCACATTCATGTACATCTAACCCAATCTGATAAAACTAGAAATCTGCATTCAATGAGCAACCTAATAACTATTTACGGTTTTGGCTTATATTTTCTCCGCATTTGTTTGCCGCTTTTCTTTGAATATGTGTTACGATTCCGGTTCCAATACATAGTCATTTTCTTCCATTTTATACGATGGACAATATACAATCTTTTATGCAAAGAAAATGATGTTGATGAACTTTTTCATTGTTTCGGTCGCGTCTCTCTAGTAATCAGTTGGCGCACAGTATTTACATAAACAATAATATTGTGTAACATTTGACTGTGTTCCGTTTTTTTTTTTTTCAAATTATTTACTCACCAATATGTTGACAATATTACAATCGTTGAGATGAAGAGGCGCAAACGACATTAACCGACAATAAAAACTATGAATAAAATTACAATGCTAAAACATGCTCACACGCTGCAATGATATTCGATATAATTTTCGCGAATAATTTTCCATTTGTGTTTCGTAAGTTTGGGGCCATTTGTATTACACATACTGCATGGCAAATAGCATATAACAATTTTAGTTACATTGTCGTTATGCCGATTGCAGGTTTTCTTATTTTTCTATTTTCCGCGTCTTTTTTTCCCGTACACAAAACAATATTTATAATGAAATGGGTTGGGCTGCGTCTCTCTTTCTTCATTTTTTCGGTTGGTGTTTTTATGCAAGAGTGCGTTGCGCACATTATATAAAGTATTAAAAATGGGAAAAATTATGAGTTTTACCATCCTTTCCCATCGTTTCATAATCCATTAAATTTTTCGCATTTTATTTTCGTTGTTCTCTTTTTTAATGTTCTCAAAGTCAGTTTTTTTCCCATTCATCGTAGTTTTATAACGACCAAAAACAGAAGAAAAAAAAATTTGTTCAACCCAAAATACGCTGCGTTCACCTGCAAGCATCGACAAGATTTAGCTGTTGTGTCCCGTGTAACATTTTCTCGGTTTTTTTTTTCTTCTCCCTCTTGATTATCTGGAGGCATTCCTCCTAAACAAAGGAGAGCGAATAGAAAAAGCTTTGCCGTCTCTGTGCGCTTTCGGTACTTTTAACATTTTGTCACATGAAAATGTTGGGTGTGTGTGCAAAAATAAATTGCTGATGTCATGTAATAACAGTTTAATGTTGAAAATGGTTTTATTTATGTTTTAAATACATTCACATCGTATCGTCCGTCGACCAAACAATGCAAGCGATGAATTCACTAATGTGCAGATTCCACCGAAATGTAAATAAATGCAACAACAATGTAAATGAATGTTTGTGTTTATGATGAATGTCTTTTAATATTTGACACACACACACATCCACGAACGAAAAAATATAAAACAGGATGGAACAATATCTGCAACAACAACATGAACATAGAAATGATGAGCCAAGAAACACTGAATAATAATAAGCAGAAAAACGCATTAAACTTTAGCCAATTCCTGAAAATGGCAAAGCAAGAAAAAAACTGAACGAAAGTGCATGGGTCTCGACACGACCACATCATCTATGTGGTTTGAAATGTACGTTCACATTCAAACATGATGTCTCTTTATTACTTGCAATGAACATTTTGAATCGATCATTGATTTAATGTAAAAACTATGTAATGAACACACTTATAGACAATGGAAATCATTTTACGCTATTAGCACATACTTTATTCCATATGTTTTTACGCGTTGTATTCGAAGTCGGTATTAGTTAATTGTTCATTTACATGTAACGACTTTTGCTTGCTTTTGCTAGCTTTTGCTATATCAATATAGATTACAGAATTCATATTGCTCGATTTTTTTGTTGCGGATTTTCTTTTTTTTTTATTATTGTATCTTGATAATCGTGTTAAGATGTCGCATTTTCGTTGTCGTGGCCCCGTGTCAGGCAGAGGGTGAGCGATTTTTTTGTATTCGACTAACCCTCCTAGAAGACGAAAACAAATGGGTCGAAGGAGAAATTGTAATTGATTTCTTCCGCTTCCACTGAATTGCCGACATTTGTTCACCACAAAAAATGCTGCTTCAGCACCCATCGTCTTTGTTCATTGAATTATGCCAACAAAATACAATGAAATAATTTGATTTATAGGCTTGAAAAAAAAATAATTAAAATATTTATGTATTTATGGCTTTTTTTCTCGTTCACATTTAACCGCTATAATTCAAAGTTTCTCTTGATGCCATTTTGTGTATGTGTGTCTGTACAGAAATACTTTCCTTATGTTATTCCCAATAAAAAAAATGTTTTCGTTCTCTTAACTCATTTCGTTCGCAATTTAAAGACATCAAATGAATATTAAAATCAAATATGTGTAAAATTTTCTCTATTTCGGTGGTTCGGAATCGATGAAAACGCGCGCAAGAGAGAAAAAAAGAATCAAAAGTCATTAAGCACAAAAGCTATAAAACTCACAGATTTCTATTGAATATTATTGATAATTCATGAAATGTAAACATAAAAAAAAAAACTTATGAAAACTTTTAATGAATCTGAACATTGTCTATTCACTTTATACGAACAAAAGAAGCGACGAAAAAAGCGGGAAAACAGAACGAAGAAGAGGCTGCGTTAAATGGAATATTAAGTGAACAAGGGTGATTCTGGATGTTTGTGTATCGTACAAAATGGAATGAAAACAGTGACATGAACTATTTTTGGGGAATATTTATGCCTTTAAGTGAAATCCGTTGAAACCGCATTTTAAATTGATATGTGTGTATTTACAATGTTTTTTTCTCTCTCTCTTTCTTTTCATTCTTTCAATTCAACCCGTGTGCAGTACCCGTCGTTGCGATGGAGGCGCTTATTGGCGAAACAGTGTATTTACCATGCAATGTTAGTACTCACGATGTTAACGATGATGTTGTGTTAGTGCTGTGGTATCGAGCGGATAAAGGAACTCCAGTTTACAGGTAAAATATATAACTTTTTTGTTGTTGTTGTAATTCAGTCGAGCGGTTTTAACCGCAAGTTATTTTTCTCTTGTTTTTTTTTTGTTCCCTCTCACTCGTTTCATGCTATTTACCTTTCATTTCAATTTTTTCCCATTTGTTCGTTTCATTTTCTGATAGCCATTCATTAGTTTTGTGCAATCGCGAAAAAGTCACAAATCCCACGTGGCAAACGGAAACAAGGCTAAATTTTTCGCTTAGGTCTTTTCCTCGCTCCATACACATATAATTTTATGAACGAAAAAAAAACAGCTTAATTTTAGCATCGTAAATCATGCGTGGCTTCGTTTTTCAGGCTTTATATTGACCAATTACAATATATATAAAAAATTGCACAACGAATGCGAAGTGAAAAAAAGCACACACACACAAACAAATATCCACAATATAGTAACATTGAAATAAATATGAATTATATCCCCATTTTATGGATCATTTGAACATACGCGAAGCCAATAAAATATGCAAAAGATACAGACATGGCTTTAACATTGTTTTAAAGCCGATCAAGTATGCGCAGCAACAGCGATGACTAGCTCAATTTACTTTTACGGCAACAGCCGAAAAAAACAATAAATACACAGTTTATGAGAGAAAATAGAATTGAATTTATGAATGTAGCAGGCGATCGTTGCGCCTCTTTTTCGCTGTCCATTTTGTGTGTCGTAAATATGGCTACATGTCGAAATTGGTCCATTATATATGGAAGCTACGGTATATGTACGATAATTTGTAATCGCAAATGTTATAGGGTCAAAGTGAATAAGATATTACACAAAAAAAAACAACGAAGAAACAAACGAATAGAAAAAAAATAAACAACGAATCTCACGCAAATTAAATTCTTGGCTAGACATGTTCGCATTTCCATAGATCTCAAGGAGATGACTGTTCTAGCATATCTGTACACATCTTCTGGCGCTTGTATATAACACAATTCGATAAGAATTCTCGCGTAAATATTTTTCCCCATAATAAATATCTTCTTTTTTTCTTCGTTTTTTTGTGTGTTTTTTCATCTCCATTTACTTACTGCCGTTGTTCGTCGCCTTCATACACTCACTGAATACAGTACACTCATTCAAAGGATTCTTTCTAAAATAGACAATAAAAAAAATAGAAAACAATATGACAAAAAACCCAGTCGCCCAATCTATTTAAGGATATGTGTGTAATGTTCATGCCTTTCTATATCTAGTGTGTCTACATGTTTTGTGCAAGTGCGATCTGTGCTGTTGTTTCTCTATTTTTGTCGCACTTTCAACACAGAACGCAGCATGTTGATAATTTATATGAACACGAACACATTAAATACATATTTACATGCACATTATACGATCATCGGCAGCAGTGCATACGTAATATCAACTAATACATAATATTAATACTAATAGTAGGTTTAGCATGTTATTGTATACAAATGGGAAAATTTATTTTTCTATTTATCTTTGAATATTTAATGTCAGCAGTTCACTTATGCGAAACATGATTTTCTTTCCAACATTCTTTTTTTTCTCAACTCTCTCATTCTCTGTCTCTTTCTCTCTTTGACTATTTTTTTTTATAAAAATACATATCGTTCATTTTTATTTATTTTCCTCACTTTTTTTTCTCTTTTCATGTACATTCAACACAACCACCATATGTCCAAACACTGGATTCATGTCTTCATTGGTGGTCCTGACACCATAACATCATATATTGTGTGCGCGCTCATTTTCACTAAACTACTTGGACGTATCTCTATCTCTCTCTCTCTCTTTTTCGCTATGTGTGTTACTTCATCATCGAAATGTGTTTACAAATTTCAATGCGGTGTGATTGTACACGGTTGAATGCATTCGACTTAATGAAAATGGCAAAACTGCATGGTGTTGAATACATATGCATTGATAACAACACACCCACGCGCACACACACACACACACACAGTGTGGACATTCGAGATAGAGATTTTAAGGCGGCCAAACGATGGTCCGATGAAATGGTATTTGCCAATCGTGCTTATTTTCTATTCGAAAAGCAACCAGGTGAATTGGCCGTACAAAATGCAAAGGAGAGTGATTCAGGAATTTATCGATGTCGAGTCGATTTCAAAGTAGCTCAAACTAGAAATAGTAAAGTCAATTTGACAGTTATACGTAAGTACACTTGAATTTTCCAATAAAAATATTTTGTTTTTTATTTCTTACTCTCTGTTCGCCCATCGTGTCCGTTTTCAAATAACTTAAATTGCATCAGTGTTTGCAATTAATTTAAAATGAAATGACACGAAAGCGGAAACATGACAACTCTTTTGATGGACAAATTAACGATTGAACACATTTTTCTTCTCTTTTTTTGTATTTTTCACAGTGCCTCCTGATAGAATAAGTATAAAAGACGATACTGGTGTGGAAAGAAGCACCGTCGTTGGACCGTACAACGAGGGTGACATAATTAATTTGAGTTGCGAAGTCTTCGGTGGTAAGTGATGCTATATACTATACATGCACACACTATTCATCGAGTTGACTAGAACTGCAAAACTCAGTTTGGTCATTAGATTCATATTGCTTACGAGCGATAATATCGACAGCAAGAGAATGTGAAGAAAACACACAAAAACGCACACGTTTGAAATCTCTTTGAAATTTTCGATCCTATTCGCTGATGTCTTGGTATACACAGAATATCAAATTTGACGTTTTCTCGTTGAAGTTTCAACGTTTCATTTCTTCATTCATGTGTCATTCAGGGTTTTTTTTTGCACTGACTCAGAAAATAATTGAATTGCACGGGGCAAAAAAAACCCAAGATTTTATTCTTTGTGTGCTAATTTAAAGGGGGGTTGAAAGGCATTTTTTGTATCACGTTATCGAAAGAAATATCCTGACATTTGAAAAGTCTGAAAATGGTTCGTTCATAGAGAAAATGGAATGAAGCAAAAAAAAAAAAACAGCAACAACATACTACAAATTAATTTCTCTCAGTTATCTTGAGAAAAAGCAATTGGAGCCCACGTAAAATGGACAAAACCAAAAAGTACTTCTTGGCGACACAATCGTCATCATCATTATAATCACCACAATGACCAAGGCATGAATATAAAACCAAAATAGAACTCATTTGTGGACAATGTGAACAAGAAGAAAAAAAAAAATCGTTAAAATTCCATTTTGGGCTTATCAGCGTCATCATTGCCGTGTCGACATTACTTCTCTTTTCACAATGGTACACAACATTTGTGCCATATCTCTGTATGTTTGTTTCTTTTCATTTCCTTGGCTTTCTTTCGGGCATCATCGTTATTTTGCATCATTTCTTATTTTATCGAATGTACCATACTCGCACACATACACACATCTACAAGGTAATCAAACTCGGTGACCGTTATATACTGACCATATCTCTACTAAATGGGAAAATTGAATGTTCGAAAAGGAAAACGATGAGCAAAAAAGTCAATGCTCATCATTCTTGTTCGAAATGAAAAACCAAATATGGTCATATGCTGTGGTGCGTGGCAGCATTCCACACAATTCAATGTGTGGCTGCGTTGGTTTTCTTTGTACATTTTCTTTAGCACTTTATACGTTTGTACTGAATCCAAAATACAAAAAAAAATGTCAAATAGTCGGAAAATACGCATAAATTTATTTCTATGAAAATGAGGTTTTGCATCATCTAAGCAATAAAATTTCACACAATGGCTAAACAAATTGGCATGAGTGCGGTGATGTGAGCACATTTACTTAATTGGCTGTTGTTGATTTCAATGTTGCCTGTGTGATAAGCACACAATGCTGCGATAAAAATGAATTTTCTTGCGAATTTGTTGAGACGATGCAAACAAAAGACCAAGGTCAAAAAGAAGAAGAAAGAAAAAATAGATGGATGCAAACAAAAACAAACACACTAACAATTCTAACTTTCTAAATTGAAGCAATTATTTTGCAAAGAGCAATACCTTTTAAAGTGAAGCTTCAAACAGAAAATAGATATTAGATATAATGTAATTTTATATATAAAACACAATGTTTTGTGCAGTAATTTATTATTTTTGGTTAATTTTAAAAATGGTGAGACATTAAAATGGGATAGCGAAATGGAGAATACAATAAGAGATTATGTACTTTTTTTACGCTCCAACAGAAAAAGTAGAATTGTAAAAACTCTCCGAATGGCAAAAAAAGAGGAACAAGCGAAAAGAAAAATACATTTTGAAATGGGTGTGTGTGTGTGTGTGTGTGTGTGTGATGTAACTAAATTAACAAACACGAATTAAGTTGAGTAAAATAGCTAGGTACTACATGGTACCAAAATGGCATATTATGCAATACCATGTATGGTGCATGCATGCTCGCACGTCGCACATACAGCAACACATAAAGGAAAAGGCAATTGCCGAGCATCCAGATAATTTCTGACAGTCAACAACCAAACAGTGGCAAATTGTGTGAAGAACATATGCAACCGAACCGAGACGCATAATATCTTGCATTTGCACATATACACATAATTAGAATAATGTTGATGTTTTATACTTAATGACCAAAGTTTTTGTACCTCCCCCGCCCCCCATTGAAAAATATGCTTCCCGCTTGAATTCGAAGAAAGTGCAATTCGGGAAAAAGGCATGGTAATAGTGACACCACTTCCATATTACAAACATCGCCACGTTTGCTTTACTGTTGCAAACGGCAACAATACAAAAAAAAAGCCATACGCTTGCCATAATTTGCAAATGTTCTTATTTACACTTTGGCTTAATGAACGCAACATTTTTAGAGTGTCGTTCACGACATACGTTCAATTACAGTTGCGATTGCAGTGGAGTGTCGTGAACGGCAACATGATACCTTGGATCATGGCGAGAGAGAGAGTGCGAGTGAAATCGTGCGGTACGTGTAACAAAAATCGGAAAAGAAATGTATGTTTGCCGCAACAAAAAAAAATCAACTACACAAATTCAAAAACAAAGAACTAGAAGAGTTGAAGTGAAAAACGATAGAGAAAAAACCCGAATAGGCGGAAGAAATCACCGACATACAGCCCGACGTGTACGCGATCAACAACAACAAAAAACGGATGAACGTGCGTGCGTCATTTTGAATGCAAATAAGATGAAAGTCTACAGTATTATGCTAATATAAATTTCAAACGTATTTGTCTGGATTGCCTGTGTGTGTGTGATTCATGCGATTCAATGTTGAATTTTTGCTAAGCCCTTCTAGTGTTCACTGTCTAGGTATTCTTGTTGTGTTTTTTTTCTTCTCCCTTTTGTTGTTAGCAAGTTGAGTGTGCAAACTTTGCACAATGCCCTCCTTCATCTCAATAATTCTATTTTCGCATGCATTCACAACTCTCGAAATGAATAAATCCCTCTTTCCTGTTGCTACTTTAATTTGCACGCAAGCAAACGGCTTGAACGTTTGCACAGCGGCTGATATAATGACAATGTTACATTGTAATGCACTCACATTTCAAGCGTATAAATTCAACTGAATCTGGATGAAAATTCATTTTTCAACCGTTGAGAAAAGGACCAAGGACCATATATGAAATACTTTGTGGTTATTTCAAGAAAAATCCCAAAAAACATTTCCATTTCAAAATGATACCTTTTCGGTTGTTTTTTTTTTTTAGTTTTCGTCCACAGTGACACTGGATTACACAACATTTACGGTATATACAAAGTTTTTATTTGTTCATTTTTAATATGAAAATATTTCGATCATTTTTTCTAAACGCGTTCATTTTCAACATATTCGTTTTCTCTCATTTGTTCCGGTTTTGCCAGAGACACATAATTGAACCTCGAATAGCCAACAATTCGTGCATAACTCCAAAAGATTTTCAATGTAGATTACATTTTTTCTAGACAAAAGACAAAAACCAGTTCATCGTCTACATCGTCTCGATTCATATATGGATAGATGAGACAGAGACCTCCTAATCGCTTGTTATCATAATTTTGACATACACACACAAAAACTACATGTTGAGTAGACGGGAAATGGAAACAATAAGAACATTCGCACGGGAGCATTTACAAATTAGAAAAGAACCAACAATAAAACTGAATGGCGAATTGAAAACAATGTTCAAATTTTTTTGGTTAGAAACAGAACACTTTGCACAAAGCTTAGTACATAGAGCACACCACCACCACAGCTATACACCACATACTCACGTAGCAGTATCCTTTTTCGTCACATGTCACACAATATGTGGCCATTATTCTTTCTTGGTTTGTTGTCGTTTGTTTATTTTTCTTTTTTCGTTTGCTATTTTCCAAGCCACCCAATCCCAAAAGCATATACGCATACACTGTACTACATCCCAACCCACACCTTACATATTATCCATTATACGGTACACAAAACGGTTAAAGTTAATTAAGACCTTAACGTTTTGTCGTCAAAGTACGTTTACATTTTTATCACAGCAGTGATAAAATGAATGGATGGCAATTTCGATTGCTATGCCTAGTTTTGGTGTTTTTATCGAATCGGTTGGGCGATCATTGAAGCGATTAAGTTTTATGTCTGTTGATGTATAGCTTTCCTTCCCCCCCTCTCTCTCGTTGCCTACTTTCTTTATACGTGCACCGAGACCAGTGTCAATAAATGTGTATTCGATCGAAGCTCATTGATAAAATTGCGACGAAAACTGTAAAGCAATGTTAGTATAATAACATCTTTTAAATACTCGAGCCATTTAATGTCTCACACTCTATTGGAACGATGTCGTGCTTCTTCATGTCTCCCGTTAAGCCGTTTTTAGAGAGATGTTAAAATTCTCTCTGCCATCTCAATGGAACATCATAAATTTGCACAAGCACACCACATATATGCCACGCTCTATAAAACAAGTCAAGTGAATGACACACAATGATCTGATCGTTGTTAGTTATTGATGTGCTTTTTTTCACTTATCAAATACGTATGTGCGTGAGAGTAATTTAAAATGTCCGTTTTTGGTAATGATGAACATTTTTTTTGCTATGCATATTGTGTCCTCCACCACCGTCGCAAGACATATGTTACTAAATTGAATGTCGTGCTTCAATCATTTAGTCACACAAAAGGTTGTTAGCTTTATCATTTTGTTTGATACGTCTGTACGGTGAGCGCGCGCACTCATACAATAAATTGTGCCAACAAATAAGAAGAAAAAACATCCAAAGTTTTCTTCGCCGAATCTGTGATTGGTTTTTATGCTTGCTTGTCAGATGAGAATAAATTTAATTATCTCATTTAATTTCAATTCGTGGCGATTGAACATAGAGATGGGAGAGAAATGCATTTGCACATGCTGTCCGGCTAGGCATTACCAAATTAGCAACTTTTCAACATTGTATTCTCATTATTTGCTTCTCATACAATCTCACTGGGTTTCTTTGGCTCCATTCAGTTGTCGCTAATTTCTCCAGTGATTTCACGACATTTTTTGTCGTCATTGTGTTTCCCATTTTCTGCGCATTATTTTCAATTACGTGTACACTGTACATACAACACTAAGCAAAGATGAAACTAGGGCAAATTTGATAAAAAAAATATATATACCAGCAAATACATATATTGGGCGACTGATAGAGATAAACTTTTTTTTCTCGCTGTGTATGTGCTTGGTATGTGTGTTGATAAAATGCTGCAAACAAGAATTAATTGAGTTAAATGAACTTGAAAATGTTGTTGTAGCTGCAATACCAAAATCAACGAACTAAAAATATATAAGGTAATGTAATTACCGATCTATCGACCGCAAACACGTCCTCCATCTCATTTTATCCTATTGTGGTTTCGATATCGGCCACTCCACAAACATACACACAATTTGGTTGGACGTAGCTTTTTTTTCGCTCACATCTTTCGTTTTCGGTATAACTTTTTTTTCTCCCTTCACTCTGAGTCTGTGATGGGAGGGAATGAGTGTTGCCAAACAATGCCTCCAATATTGATAGAAACATATAACGATATGTTGATACATAACAATATGAGAAAGTAAGAGTATTATCGTGTAACTTCTATCTGCTTTTTCACTCATTTTCATTCAATCGCATCCTTGGATTTTCTATATGCACAAAGATATTCGACAAGGGAAACGATGAAAAAAGGCACTCACATCGAAAGTAAATTGAACGAAAGACAACATACGAAACAGTGCGCGGCATCGCGAGAGAGTGGAATATGAGGAGGAGTGCGTAAGCCGTTTTCTGAGTGCTTTCATTCCATTCTAATTACAACTTTAACAAATAGACACGAAAATTAAGTTAGTCAGTTCACAAAAATATTCATTCGAATCGACAGCCAAATAAAAATCGAAGTAGATTATAATGAAAAAGCATGGCTTAACAATGTTGGTTTATCGGATGTGTAGAAAATGTGGCATACCAGCTAAAACATGTACAGTACATTACCTTCGTTTATGTCGAAGGATGGTGTGGATAAGGAGAAGACAAAAAATTCGTTGCATTAAGCAAAGGTTTATGTGGTTAACGTTTTTGTGCTTTTTTTGTTTGGTGCTGCTGCCATCATGTTATTCTTTTTTCATGACTTTGTTTCTGTTCATCTTGATAGCAAAAGAATATCTCTCGTCACTGTTGCATTCACGGTTTCTATGCGAACTGGAACGGCTTTTCGGTCAAACCAAAACCAACATGCCAATAAATATTGTAATTAGTTATTGACATTCATCGAAATTCGAGAAAGATATTTCGAATAGGTTTTGTTATTTTTATCGTCATTCTCTAGATTCGATTTTCATTTTCTTTCTGTCATTTTCCATTCTCACAACGAAAGTGAAGCGCGTACTTAATTACAGTACATAACTTAGTACTGTTTTTTTTTTCTACAGGCAGCTCATACGGACAGCTGACAATTAATTTTCTAGTTTTATTTATTTCGATTTCAATTGATTTTGTGTGTTTATCGTTTATTTTTCCATTTGCCGAATTAATTACTAATCAGTCCTTATTTTTCGTATGTCGCTGAGGTCGTCTGATTTATACCATCAAAATGACTTAAAAGAGGAATAGTGGTATTTGTGCTGTCTCCATTTACATCATTTTGATTCCTACCATACAAACTCAAATCAGAAATGGGCTGTGCCATGAGAGTTTTATAATTATATGAGTTTGACAGCCAATATTATTTTCACTGAAAATCACCAAAAATCGTTCCATACATTATAATCGTTTATTATTAATTCAGTAACGTTGTATGCTGAGCGCCATCCGTATATATTGAATTTTCTTCAAAACATACTTTTTCTGCGACCGCTGATCTTTGACTGCTCAGTCAAAATGTGAGCAAAAATCAAAAGTGACAACAACAAAGTAAATTAAGTAAATAATATTTACTTGAAAATCGTTTGACAAATACAATCCCACGTGTATAAGTTCGACAAGGCGTGCCATTTTACTACAATTGACAATTTTTCATCAAGGAACAAGCAAGCCAAAGATTCCTTTCCTCCTTTTTCCCTCATACTATAAATGTCGAATATCGTGTAGAAAAACAAGCTATCCAAATATTTGCACATTTGTGCCATATGATCTGTTTGACTTGCAAATATAAAACCAAATTCCTGGCAACGTTTTTATAAAGTGCACAAAATGAATGCGAGTGATTTTTTCCCCAATTGCTGGCACATTTTTTCGACTTTCTTTTTTATTTGTCTTATTTATGCATATTATTTCGCAGGCGCTCATTCTATCTATTTCCCCCATGGTGTTTATCACATTTTTTGCTTTCGTTTTTTTTTCTGCGAAAAATGTGTATTCGTTTTATAATTTATTTGTGCTGTTTGTGCCCTTTATGCTTTGAATCATTGTTTTATTATGATTTGGGTAAGCAATAAGGCGCTTTTGCACAGAAACAATAACAGCGAATGCATTCAATAGCACAACAAGTTAATGAACTTGAACAATGCAAATGATTATGTGGGGATACAGGAATTTGACAGAAGAATAATAAAAAAAAAATGCTTACGATGTGAAAGCAAGCGCGTCTGGAGAGTGAGAGAAAAAAATGAATGCCAAAAGGAATACAGTGAAAAATGGTTAACAAAACAAACAAATATTGGCGTGTGCAACCATTTCAGTTCCCGCAAACATAGACGGTACAAATGTTTTTTATAATCCAAATGGAAACCATACAGCAGCTGTCATTGACAATAAAATATCAATGCTAAACATAATAAACGATTGAAAAAAAGGAGATAGCTAAGAATGTTTAAACCATGCAAAACTTCCAATACCATCATAACCCAATGATATCGAATGATTAATCTTCTAATTTCATATAGCGTACATCCACATCCCATTTGCCAATTCTCTTCTCATTTGAGAACCCATTGTTTTCGTTTCTGTAATGGTTTCGGAGGGAGAGAATGACAATGGTATTATGTGTGTATTTCTTTTTCTGTGCCTTCTAATTTGATTGCTATATGAATGCTTTATGTGATGCTTCAATAAAAATGTAGCTTTATTTCCATTTAGTGTTTGAAAAATTTACTTCAAGCGTCTTGTTTATCGACTATATGCATGTTAACACACCAGCTTATATATAAAGCCCATTTACTTTCCGCCGTTTTGAATCGAAATCCGATTCGATGCGTATCTCTTATACAGAAAACCAAAAAAAAAAACAATGAACTAGGGAGACAGAGAAATGAAACAGCAACGAAAATATATAACTATATAGAGAAAATATCGTTTGTAAAAAAAGCTGCAAGATTGTAAAATCAATTGCCAAATCGACGGATGCAGTTTGTTTGTTCTATTCGGTCTGTTCTCATTTTTCATCTCTCTCTCTCCATTTTTGGTATTTCTATATTGGCATTGCCATTTTGAGCTCGGATTAACTTAGCTTATTTATTTATTTATGTTGTTTGTGTTGTTTGTGATTTGTTTTTTTCTTTCTTCTTTCTTCAATAGACATGATGGTAATAAAAGTCGAAATTTTTTACTATCCATTAAACAAAGAGAAAATATGATTTCTGATTTGGTTGATCTTTTCAAATCGGCATTAAAAATAGATAAAGAGCAACATGAAAAACATATTACAGTGAATAATCAGATCAATTGTCACATTAATTGCATCATTGAGTTCTTTTTATCGAACTTTGTGTCTTTTTGTGTGTTTTTTTTTTCGTCTCTCTTGCGTCTCAAGAAATAAAAACAAATATCGATCGATTGGAAGCGATGAAAATAAAAACTTGGCCATTATTCATGTATTTTATGACTTAAAAAAAATGTTTCGTTTGCTTTTGTGTGTTCATTTTATTTGTAGGCAAGCCAATGCCGGTCATTCATTGGTACAGGGATAGTACACCAATCATCAGTGAAACGTACGAAACAAACGGCGGCCAAAGTGTGAAAAGTGATATAACATTAGGTCCACTTGGGCGTCAGGATCTTAACACGCGATTAACGTGCAAAGCAATTAATCATCCACGAGCAAGTCCATTAGAAACAACCGTCCAAATCGACATGAACTGTAAGTAGAAACCGTTTTTCCTACCATTACCATTTTTAATCTTTATAAACTGCTGTAATTATCACAACTCAAATGTAATTTAGTTTTTGTGTGCGTGTGTTTTTGTGTGTGAGAGACGAAACGAAGTTCGTTCTTTACACTATACATGCGTTGGTGTGTCTATTTTTGTGAGCGCGTTAATTTGTTTTTCAGCTGATGAAAAATAATGTGTTAAAATTTCAACGGCGCCCACTGTCATATTGACCACACTATGATACTTTGCCGCATTGATGAAGGTTCAAGGCTCACTTTTGTCAACGATTAACCGATACGACGAATACGATGAGAAAAAGGGATAATGAATGTTTTCCACTTCGCTTGTCGATTCGAATATATATGACAGAGAATATCCGAGTCGGGGAGTCCATTTTCGCCGCTTCAAATGCAAAACTGTCGAATTTGATGGGCATATGTACATCACTTTGAACACCTGCCAAAATACGGAATAATTTTTTGGCAAATATGTAATATCCCCCACTTCCATTGATGAAAATCGGGCCAGTACATCGTTCTCTTCATCGCATGAAAATTCCGTATCATCATAATCACCATCACACACCATCATCGATGGGCGGATTCAACGTTGCGGTTGGCAAAAATTAATGACTGATGGACAAAATTAAGTCTCAGTATCATGAGTAGCAGCATTAAAATGCTGTGTAAAGTGCTTGTGTGGAAAATATTCTGTCAGCCAATAGACATGATACACACATTATATTTAAGATTAAACTATGGATCTATTCTTTTGACGGACGATAATGTAATTCTTTTAGGTCAGCGAGCAAATTGTATCGAATCAAAAAAAAAAAAAGAAAAAAAAAATATGAAGTAAAATAATTATGCGAAAAACAATGCAAGCAGCAGATGATCTCCATGTTTTACAATCATTTTTGCTTGTTAGCAGCAGCAGTCGTAGCGCTAGCAGCAATACCACCATCATCGTGCCAACCAATGTGTATTATGTTCGGTTTTATCGTAATTTTGCATTGTTATAGAGTGTAATTTTTATGGGTCACAAAAAAAAGCGAAACTTAAAAACGATGTGCGTAAATAAAAATCAAGTAAAATAATAATGTGTTTATGAATAATTCAGAGACTGTGTGTTATCATAAAATATTTTCTTTTTTTCTTCGAAAGAAAAAAAATACGTTCTTCTTTGATCAAAACAAAGTTTTTGAATGTTCCCTTTGTGAGTGGAATCATTTTTTTCCCTACTTCATTCACTAAACGACGGAAATAAACTCACCCGTCTGAACCGATAGGTTAACTCTCTTTTTTTCTTATTTTTCTCTTTGTATGCACTATGCATACGCTGTGCGGACATCTATGCGATAAAGCTAGTGCGAGATCATTACATAAGTTTCCAATATTGTTTCGGTTAACACACAAAAATATCTTTGAGAGTGAGTATGCTGTCCGGTTCACTTCTACGCATTCAAAGTCAATCGAATACATTTTCGAATAGTCGCAACATTCTTTTTCTCATGTCAATAAAACGCAATGCATTTAATGGAAAAATAACACTTAACTTAACTGAGGTCAAATGAACAGAATGGAATAGTGGCATAATACATTCAAGCACATAATAAGATATAAGACGAACTAGTACATGAGCCAATAAAAGCAATTTCTTGTTCGATTTTTTGCTCATTCCAATGATTTTTCGCCGCCGCCGTCGTTGTTGTTGGTGGTGATGTTGTTCTGCCGCTGCTTCTTCTTCTTCTTTTCCGTCTTCTTTGTTTTATTTTCCGCACATTTCGGTTTTAGTTTTAATGCTTAGCTGGCTTGCATTTGGCAGCTCGATACTAAACCATCAATGATGATATGAAAGTTTTACTTGACGGCATTAGTGTTGTTTATATCGTACTTTCAGTTCTTTCCTTTTAAATTTTTTTTTTCATTCTCTTTCGACGTTCGTATTTTTTCCGTTTTCATTCTTAACGCTGCTGATGCTATATATTTTATTCGGTTCATTTTTCGTTGAACCTGCTTTGTTCTATTCTTCATAGATTTTCTCACTGCTTGAATTTTATTCGTGAACTTCGGAAATGATAACGGTAATGGACCCCTCAAGTGATACGCCCTCTTCTCGTTGTATGAAACAATTTTCTGATTTTGTGAAATATACGAACGCTTAAAAATCTCTCTCTATATATACTATAATACTTGGCTACTTCACGTTCACACTTCACAATCGCATTTTCACTTTTCATTTTGGGGTTTGGTATGGCGGGGTTAAATTTACGTTGCACTTCACCCCATTATTTGCCAATCTGGAAACTTCTTATCGTCTTAAAAACCGAATTTGCCAATTCTGCTACAGCGTTCATTCAACTCATTTGCTCGTTGGCGCATCATTAGTCTTCCTTGTAATTAAAAGAGCTGATTGTTTTCTTTTTATTTTATTTCTCGTGTGTGTTGTTTTTCCCCCTCTTACGTCGTTTTAATGGGGTATCGAACGTATATTATATGTATTATATGTTTGGGTTGGTTATCTGGTGCAATCGGTTTTTACTGCTGCTGTTGCTAAGCTTATGAATTACCATAAAAAATGTGAAAAATGGCATACACATTATTTATTGCGACACAAAGATCGTCCTCTTTATGTGATCTGTGTATTGTCACATGTGATAAGGGTCAAGCTATCGACAGAATTAAATGTAGAAAGGTCATCGAATGACTAGCGCATTTCTGCATTCAAACAATATACACACGCACACACACATGCTGTTGTAAACTTGTCTGGTGTCTCATTTATTTTATTGCTCTAGTTCTTGTTCTAATTGTTTCTTGTTGTCTCGATTTTTTGCAGTCACACCGTTGAACATTCGCCTGTTGGGCGCACATCAACCTTTATCAGCGGGCAAGCGATACGATCTACTATGTCAGAGTGCCGGCTCTCGACCGCATGCTGCAATAACATGGTGGCGAGATGGACAACGATTAGAGAAAACTACCGAAACGGTAAACTTTTGTCTTGTCCGAAAAATTATTCGTCTTAAATGCTTTTTATTTATTTCTGTGTGTGTATGTTTTTTTTGTTCATCTACTCCTCTCATTTTTATTTCATTTAACCTTTTATTTACCGGACTGAGAATAGAAGAGAGACAATTATAGCGTCTTAAATGGGAAACATAAGAAAAAGAGCAGTGGGTTATATTGTTTTTCGACCGCTTTATCCAGTGTGCGACACTAAAATGGGATGCGATTTAATTTAGCGCTTATTCTTCTTTTCCCCTTTTTAGCCCGTAACACGATTTAAAATAGAATCCTAATTATAATTTTATCGTCTTATTGTTCTCTTCCGACGCTACGATTGCTCGTTTTCTTGCTTAGTTCGCAATTCGTATTCGCATTGTTCTAATCTTATGCGTTCTTTTTTTTTTCTTTGTTCTTTTGTTGTTCAATTGTTGTTGTTATTGTTGCTGCTGCTGTTGTCTGTTTTCTATGAGCATTTATTGATATTTATTTAGTTATAATGTTTTCATATTGTACATAGTATCTATGTTCATCCGCTGATTCCGGTTGTTCAAAGTTTGTTCTGCTGAGCAAACAAACTTGAATATCGATAGCAAACATTCAATACATTCGAATCTCATTTATTTTCCCATCTGAAAAATACGCAGTTGTCCAGTGACGGAAATCAAACAACGAGTACACTTTCAATTACGTTGAGCCGAGCAGATGCCGGACGATATTTATCATGTCGAGCTTACAATCCGGCACTACAGTCGGAGACATTGGAAGATGGATGGCGATTAGATATTCAATGTGAGTATTTCGTACAAATACCATATTTATCATATCTTTGTTTACAAGAGAATGAATTGCAACATTCTGTCTCTTTCGCTCTTCCCCTCTCTCTCTTTCTCTCTCTCTCTCTCTCTCTGTGTGTGTGTTGAACACACGCGTGCGTGCACAATATCATCTTCTTTATCGTTCTATTTCCATCGTGTGCAATCACCAAGTACTTACAGTATTACAAGTGTTTGTTGCAAAAATCACGATTCCTGGATTGTGCACAATAAACATTGGCAAAATGATCATTTATTGCCGTGCTTACATAGAATAAATATGCATCGATGTTATTTATGGAGAATGCATTTTGTAGTTCAAGCAAATTCTCTAAAATACCTTCAAAATTACAGAGAGTTTCGACCAAATTCCCATTCATTATGATGAAAGTGTTTGTTTAACAGAGGACAGAGAGAGAGAGAGAGAGAGAGAGAGAGAGAGAGAGAGAATGAAAAGGGAGAAATAAGTTCATTGTGTGATGAGGCAACCTCATAATGTCTTTTGTGTTTTGTCCAATGAAATTACTGATTGTTAAATGAAATGGTGATTGCATTCTTGACGATTCACGCCATTCACAGATATACCAGAAACAAAAGTCAAATTGGGCTCATCACTTGATCCGAACACAATAAGAGAGGGTACGGATGTTTATTTTGATTGTTTGGTAACGGCGCATCCCCATGTATACAAAGTAGAATGGCGTCACAATGTAAGTAATATACGATATTTTAATTATTTAAAGCATTTAGATCATTTGTTTGTCATGTTCAAGTGAAAAATGATTTCATAAGTCATTTCCCAAATGTAAAACTCGTCCAAAGCTACCGCATACCATTTAACCTATATTATAAACATATTTCAAACTGTAAATAAGAAGCAACCGACAAAGGAAAATTCGGAATTTTTTTTCACAAAAAAATGAAGAAGTATACGTAAGAAATGTGTGTTTTTTGGTGAGTTTGGCGTTGGTATGGGTTCGGTTGAAATAATTTGGCAGCATTAACAACAGAATGATGTATAGATTTTAAATCGAACATTTTTCACAAAAAAATCTCTCTCTCCCTCATGGTTGTTTTCTTTTTGATTTGATTTTTTTTCTTTTCCGCATCGCAATTTCTCATCGCGCTGAAAACAATTGCAACTACAAAAACAAATTACAAACGATAAACATAAACACAAAACCATAAATGTTGAATCTCCAGGGCCGTATGCTACCTCACAACATATCACAAGGTGTAATAATAAGCAATCATTCACTTGTACTGCAAGGTGTTTCACGTGCAACAGCTGGTAATTACTCATTTTTTTTTGGCAAAAATCGCCGTCGTAAATAGGTGTTGTTGGCAATAATAATTGTTGTTTTTTCTTCCCCACAGGAGACTACTCATGTGTCGGATTGTAAGTATATTTTTTTTTACTCTTTGAACTGTTATCAGTGATAATCAAGGGGAAAATCACACACCTAATCCACATATTTTGGACTCTTTTATTTACTATTACTACCGTGCAACACCGCACCAATCTATTTAAAACAAAAATGTTAATCATTTTCCCCTTGATGTCAATTCTAGACATTAAAAAAAATGATAACTGTTTTTTAATCTTTTACCAAACAGTAATGCTGAAGGAGATGGCATCAGTCCCCCATTCACCCTGAATGTATTGTGTAAGTCATCCATATTACATATTTATAGCCGACAAACAGTAAATCCTATAGTTTTTCAGTGTTTAACCAAAATGTATGCGTGAGAGAGTGAGCAGACAAACAAGCAAACTCGCACGTTTTTACATACATATAAAAAAATATACACAGAGAGACAAGAAGTGTGGGCAGATGCCTGACGATGAATCATCCATACATAGTGTTGTGAAAGTGTTTTACTCAGCACCCAAATAAATGTGCAGTATTTACATAAAAAAGAGAGTGTAACGAAATGAAAAATATTATTTTGTAACAATTTGTATATTGCATTGCGAGCAATATTTTGTGCGCTCCCACACACAAAACTCTCGTTCTCTCAATTTTCGAACTTTAATATTCGTTGGCAACGTAGCTGTTCGTGCTTTTGGCATATCACAGTGTATTGAAGTTAAAACTGTGGAAAGAACCAAAACACGCACACACACAACAAAAGTATCAAATCAAGTGGAACAACAGCAATAATATTCGAGAAAAATTGCCATAATATCGCATAAAAAACATGTTCAAGTCTCTTAACACTCTTTTTTTCTTACTTTCTCTTACTCAGTTCTCTTTTTTTTTAGCTCACATTGTAACAAAGAGCAATCCTATACACATGCACACACACATCGTGCGAGAAAATTGAATGGGAGGAGGGGCACTGAGGGGTAGGAGATAGAGATAGAGAGGAAAATAGAATTGTATCGTATTGCTTCGCATTTTTTATGCTTTCTCCCTCAAAACAAATATGAACAGCTTCTCTTCTACCTACCTGAATATGGGGATCCATTCGGCAATTTAAAAATGTACTCTCTCTCTCTCTCTCTACGTATATGCATGCATTAACATTTGTTCGACATGGCTCTTCATCTGTTAGTCTTTCGCTCGTTTGCTCGCATTATACATAGTTGATTAAATGTAATCAATTTATTTTTGGTCTGAAGAACAAGCGAGTCCGTGCTCCACGCTTTCGCATTTATTTTCATTTGATTTTTCTTTTTTGCTCTTTTGTGGGGGGACTCTTTTCCATCTCTCTCTCCTTTTTTTTCTTCTTCGTCTGTGTTATTTGTTTTGTACTTTCCTTTTCTCTTTATTTTTGCACTTGGATTGATTTCATTTGTGCAGTTTTGTGTTCCTCATTCCGTTGTTGATGGACGGCTTGTTTTTTTGAGCACGTTCTGTTGTTTTAGGACCCGATTTTTCTCCATTCTCTTCGTCTTCTTTTTTTTTCAAATTCAATCCATATTTTGAAGCAACCACACGCCCTTCACATGTGCCGATGTGTTGAATTTCATTTTGTCATTTGGCCGCAATGCATTTGGAATAGATGCTGAATGCTCGATAAAATTTTCGTTTTTCTTCATTATACTGTAGCACTTTTCACACACACCCACACAAGCAATTTGCATACTTCATGAGATGAAATATGTTTACATGTGTTTAACAGATATTTGATTGACGACGACGACGACGACTGCAGTTTCTACGTCCTGTTTTTACTGTTTATTCGTCCAAATTAACCTTACGATATTTTATATTTGAAAGCAAAATAATTGTACAGAAAGTGAAAGTACGAATTGGGAAATTTTTACAATATATACATGAATAAAGCAAATGAGTACATAAAAACCCACATGCATTAATAATTAAAATGTTTACACTTACAACAGATGCACCATCATGCAGTCCAAATCAGCCGCGTATTTACGGTGTGGCCAAGCAGGAACAGGCACAGATAAGATGTAGCGTTGATGCAAATCCACCGGACGTTGAATTTAAGTGGACTTTCAATAATTCAGCCGAAAGCATTGACGTCGCCAGCAATCATGTAACTCGTTCAGGTAAGATACACAAAACATATGCTATTTGTTTGTTTTTACGTTTATCAATTTGTTTAACCGTGTCTGGATACCCTCGTGCGCATCGCGCACAGATGATAAATAGATGTTGCGTGTGTTTCGTTCTTCACCAAAATACATGCACATATATTGTTGATTTTACCATAATCACTTATTTCTGGTCGGCCGATACATGTACAAACACAGATAAGTACTAGCCGCACTAAATTCTATGTTGTTCACCGATGAAAATGGCGCCCAATTTGTTTATAGCACTTTTCGATGTTTGGTTAAAATTTGAAAAAAAAAAGAACAACAACAGCACAACATGAACGCTGAGAATGCTGAAACAAAAAAAAAAGTATCCGCACAATATATACGTTAAAGTTACATGTTGCTAAATATCATTGCCGTCAAAATATCGTCAAATTAGCAGCTCCAAAAACTACTATTGTAGACACACAAACACACTCATACACCATGTTTGACACGTATTGGGTAACGTGTGCATGGTTGCAAAATGTCAGTGCGTAAATTCGAAACTCCACGGAATAGCATGTAATAGAAAGCCGCAATGGCACTATACTAGATTCTGTATTTTATTTAGAAAATATTTCGTCGGTTGTACTCACAATGGTGTCGAATGAACATTGATAGTTTCATTGCCATCCCAAACTCTCTCATCATCGTTTCGCTATCAAAATTCGGCAACAACGAGAAAAACGAAAGACATGTGAAAACCATAAAACATGGGAGATTCGTGCATACCGATACGATGAGACACGTTAACAAAACACACACACACACCGTGCACACCTAACCAAACCCCATTTACGAATTTGAAAAGAAAAAAAAAAACAACAACCTATCATTGAATCTCTCGTTCTCCACATTCCATACATTGTTTATGACATGTTTAGAGATGCTGGTGACAATAGTGACGCATCATCGACATGAATAAAGAAAACATTTTGGCGCGCACACATTCACGAATTATAACAAAGCGAATCAAATGTACACTCTACACTGCCAATACATTTACTTGGATGTTATATAATAATGCTTAATGTATATATGAGATGAATTCAAAAACATATTTTTGACCCAGGCGGACAAATAAAACAAAAATCGTAGGATGTGAGCTCGAGTACAATTAAGTTGTCTTCAGATTCCCATACAAATTATTTGGAAAACTCTCATTTCCAAGAAAAACTTTCACGAATTTTCCAAACATAAAAAAATACTGTTTCTGTGGCTCGTGGTAAGGAATCCGAAAAAATAGGCTTCAATTTGATGGCTGATACCATTGTTTTGAGCTATGTGCGATACAAACAAACTGAAAACGATTTTAAAGCTTGATGATACATCAAGCAAAGTAACAAAATGTAATCAGTTTTACCAGAGTACACACAGTACATTGTTTGTGGTTTAATTTTTCCGTGTATCTCAGTGTTTTCTTTGTATGGCACAAATGCATGCATGATATGTGTATGTGAGCTGTCACATATTTTTCGCTTTGTACCGATTGGAATTAAATTGAATGAACAGAACATGCTTTTGTTGAAGCTAGAATAACATACAAAAACCACATCAACTACTACTACCAATATATAAAAAAACTAAAGCTGAATAGATCATATCAAAATCATCTCAAACATTTAAATACCAACTAGATGTCTGTTCATTGAAAATGAACGAATTATGAGTTGATTATTCATGCGATTGTACTTAATGCCAATTTTTTTTTTTAAATGGACATTCTTCATCTATATGAATTTTTTGAAATCAGTGAGCGTTTATCCAATACTGGGGGCACATCCAATGTTTGAATTCTCACGCTCGCTTCACGTTGATCGTAAATGTACACAGTCAAATGATGGCAATGTTTTGCCAAACAAAAAAAAACTCCACTCAAACACACTGTTCGCCAAAAACAACATCGACAACGGCGAAGACGAGTGTTGATGTTTACGTGTTTGAATGTGTGTTAGTTTTGGCGTGTGTGCGCCTATATCAGAGATCATAAAATGTGTGTACATTGAAAATGTGAATTTGCTTTTGTCATCAACAAAGCACATTTCACACATGTGAGCATGTTCTCAGGTTTTTCAAATGGCCAGAAATTTACTTTCCCAAAAGAGCCCGAATATTAAATTATAATTGAAAGAGAGATGAGATCGTGCTGTACTTTCAAATTCATTAAATAATAGCTATAACGTCAACGTATAAATGCCATCAGCTCCACTCGAGTTGAACTCACTCACTCTCTCTATCTCTCACAGCGGCGTCAATTCAATGTGTCTTTGGCATTTCCGTTTTGTTTTAATTTTCGATTTTTTTTTCTCGTTTTCTTGCTTTTGCATTTGTTGGTGGTTGTTGTTGTTTTTATCGGTATCTCTAACTCATCGTTAGTTTTGCTATTTTCGGGGCACAAATGAGAAACAAATACGTGCAAGTTTTGAAAGCAATATATCATCCATGTGTGTGTATACGATATTACAAGCTTAGCCGAACTCCACCGAAAAACAACTAGTTGTGTGCTGTATGGTATCTCTTGTACGTTGATGGTGGCTAAGGCGTTGAAATTTTTTTTTATTTCATAAGCATAAATGTTAAATGCTTTTTCAATCCAGCAAGCCGTTGCAAGGAGAAAACAATGGACTTTGTACGGCATGGCCAATACAATGTGCTTAAATCACATTGATCTCCACACTAAAATACGGACTATGGCCATGGTTTTAGTATCCAATACTTAACTAGGCTCTTACTCGTACTCTTCTCAAAGCACGACAAAGTGATTCGCCATACACTTGTATGTGTGTATGTGGTATATATTGATTTTAACCGTCGAAGTATGTGAGCAGAGTGCGAAAAAGAGATTGCTTTGTTTTGGAACTGGCAGAATGGCGTGTGTGTATGCCTTCTAATAGCGAACCGTAATCGTGCCAATACATAATTCATTCATATGGTATTTGTGTTTTCGTTTTTCGATATTGCAGGTACATCGTCGATCGTTACCTATACGCCGATGACAGAACTAGATTACGGAACTCTTTTGTGCATTGCATCAAACCGAATCGGTCGACAACGAGTGCCATGTGTATACCATGTCATAGCAGCAGGTAATTAATTAAAATCATCTTTTTTTTCCTCCACAATTTTTTTTTCTATTATTCACTTGCTATTTACCTATTTTCATTCCGTTTGTGTGTTTGTTTGGTAACTCGATTCATTCGTTTGTTTTTCATTGTTTCGATGGTCGCCTCTTTCAAGTCGCTCTTTCACCAATCGATTATCTTGATATTCGTTTACTTACTTTGGTTCATAAAATGTGCAAGACATATATGTAATACTTATGCATTAACCAGAGAGAACTGTTGCTGCTGTTGACGGTGTGTTATCATTTATCAGCGTGAATACACCGTGACAAAGTCAGTTTTGTTTCTATTACAAATGCCATTAAGATTACTTGTGGAATAGTGAGCTGAAAGTACATAAATGAATGAATACTTTTGTTTCTACATATTCAAAATGTATTACGAATACATATCAATTTCGTAGAGATGTTTTCAAAAGATTTTCGTTTTTGTATTTCGAAATGCAAAGAGAGAAAATTAATGCGATTATGTCGGATTTATTCAGTCTTAAAAGCTTCATGTATTCAAATCTGATCATATCGTTCAGCAAACAGAGGAAATTTTGTCAAATAAACCATAATCTCAAAGTGATTATACATTTCTCTCAATCGGTTGTATTCATCGGCACAACATATTTGAAACAAACCAAAATTATAATTTAAATTATTTAAAGAACCATACAGTTCGATTTGAATGGCTTCAATCGCCGTTGAGAATAGTTGAGTGTTTCACTAGTGTGTTTATCACATTCAGAATTTAATCAGAGACAAATTATTAGTTGAGAAAATGTATAATTCATTTCGAATAAAATTTATTTGCGGACACTGTCCAGTGTCCATAAGGAAATTTCTTTTGGTTCGAAAAGTGTTGGACGGACGATAAACCGATATCGATTTTGTGGCAGTCAATGAATTTTAAATGAGAGCCACAAGTCCAAAACAAGTTAAAAAGAATTCTTTTCGGTTTTTTTTTGAAAATGAAAAAGCTGTCAAAAAAGCTTAGAGTAAAAAGAGTGAATCGAAACAGACAAACGATATGTTTTACTCTAAGATTTTATTTGTCCAAGTTTTGAATTTACCTATTCTATATGTTCTCTTTTAGCGTTCAATAATTTACTGTATTTAAAAAAAAAATGATTTTTTTAACTTGTTTTGGATCTGGGGCTCTGAAAATCTGCACTGGGAAACGTCCGAAGCGGCCATTCAGTCTCTGGAGTAATAGTGCGGTCGACCATTTTACGACTTTGCTTGTGTTACCAAGGGCACCCATTCAAAGAGCGATGACTGTGCAAAATAAATATTAATTAAAACGTCAAGTTAATGAAAACAGTTTTTCAATATCCCGCTGTTTGTCGACATCGCCAAAAAGAAATCAGTGCAAATAATAACCTCGTACACATTGTAGTTTTACACCGTATACATGTAAATCCAACAATTTTTTTTTATATAAGTGAGTGAATGGTTTGTGGGTGGTTACCATTCGATTTAAGATTTCAATATTTGATTCACGACGCGAATAAGTTGAGCAATTTTAATCAATGCCAATGCACACGCAACACGATACCACTTGTAATTGTTTCTGTATAAGTGCGTTTTTTTCTTCTTTTATTTTCAGTTCGGTTCGATTATAATCGAATCGCGTGCAAATAAACACTTTGTAAATATGACATTATTTGATTATGTATGGTGTGCAAGCACTTAGTGACCAAACGATTTGATTTGGATTAATTATAAAACCCAATAATTATTATATACAATCACACATGCGTGATGACCGGGCTGCAATAGAAGACATTTATATTTATATATGTTTTTATTATTCTGTCGCAATTTATTTTATATCATAACCAAAGATCTGTGCCCGTGGCAAAGCCACATATTTTAATTGAATCATACTTTGGTATGGAGTGTGTGTGTGTGTGTGTTCATAAAAAATGCAGTCATTTGATAAAAATGTATCATCAAATTTTCATTTTCATAATATTGTTCGTTTGTCAAATATACATATTGGATGGAACACATACTGTCATAAACAGGTTGACACTTTGAGTAACAAGCTTCATCTGTTTACTATTTTCATTTCTCTCGTTCCGTCCCCAAAATTTCAAGTGTTTACCATTTTGCTTGAGATATGTGTCGCATCCAAACATTTATCGCATGATTGTTTGTATTTAACATGCGGTGCCAAGTTTTAAATTCGACATTATGGCCAAATTCTATTTTCGTGTTTGTTGCAATTTTTCTTCCATTTCGCATTCTTTTTTCTTTCTCTCTCTCCCAATCACTCATTCTCCTTCCCCAATCTTCTTTCTCTGTCTCTCTCTCTCTCTCTTATCTGCCTTTCATTTTGCCATGCACCGTATCATTTAATCCAAGCAAAATCTGTGCTGCGAAAACTAGTTTACAATTTAATGGAATGTTACCGAGGTTTTTCAACCGAAACAAATTGTTCTATGTAAATATAGGTAGTTAGATTTTGTGTGCATTGTCAAGTCGGGAAGAGATACAGAGAGCGAATGAGAGAGAGAGAGAGAGAGAGAGAGAGAGAAAGAGAAGAAGAAACACGAAAGGTGGGCGAATGAGAAAGACATGACATAGATGAAATGCCGTGTATGTTTCGTATTTGTGGATGAATGCATTTTAAAATTTGCATCCGTTGTATGTGCACCACCGAAAATTCTAAAATGCTGGCTTGAACGTCAAATTCCAAATCAAATAACGAAAAACATTGTTTTGTGTAAATGCAATCAAATCAAGGGGAAACTGGTTTTATCTCCACAAAAGTTTTGACACTTTTTATGATTTTCGGTTCCATAATTTTCCACATATTTTCACTGAGACACGAGAAAAATGACTTTCCCCTCGCTCCAAATGTTTAATCTCATTGTCTAAATAGTTACAGCAGCAATGTAAATATCAAAACATGTCTGAAATTATGGCAAATAAGTTGCGTCAAGTAAAACAATAAAATTACAAGAAGAAAAAAGATAGAATACGAAGAACTAGAAACATGTTTGCCGACGTAACAACAAAATGATGACAACAACAACAGAATCAGAAGCCGCAAAAAATAAACAAGAAAAATGTCAAAATAAATCGTGTAAAGTCGTTTGCTGAGTAACATTCATGCAATGAGTTAGATTCATTCCTTTGCATACAAGGACTGACGACTTCATATTTACCGTATAAAATTGATGAGAGGAGAAAGAGAGCATTTAAGTACGCAACAAAAATATTTCGAATGAAATTGGAAATAAACTGAAAAAGCTACCGAAAACCCACCGAATGATAACCTCAAATTGATGTTCAGTAACTTAGTATCACAATTGTGAGTGTTATAATCATACCGAACGAATTTTACGGCATAAGACAGACTCTTATGCAAAAGTCCAACCCGATTACATAGGGTGACAATTTACTTTGATTTATTTGATGTGCTGGAAATGTGTCAGAATCTAACTCCAATTGATGTAGTTTCATTTAAAAAAATATATAATCGAATGACGGAAAAATTGTAGCGGTTTCATGTTGGCCAAGAAATTCCGACACTCTTGCGGTTGAAATAACGAAATAACTGAAATTAATGCATTTACTTATCCACCCCCATGTGCCCTGATATTAATTCTATGAACTTACATTTGGAAGCGCAAGAAAGTACGTAATACATTATACTGCCCGGGAGAAATACAATCCGAAAAATGGAGAAATATTGTTCTATCGTACAATGCGAATAGCGAATACAATCTACACAACATTGAAACAAAATGCCGAAATGAAACTATTTTCCATAATTTTATTGCTATTTTTGTAGTAATATAAACATCCTTCACAATAAATAAACAACTATGCGCCCGTTTTCTCTTACATTCTAATTTTACTTGAAACATTTGATGTTTCCATTTATTTCTGTTGTGTTTGCTCTCTCGCTCTCTTGCTTTGTCCCATTTTTCTTTTCATCAGATCAAACAGTAGCATTTTTGTCGTCATCGTAGTCGTCATTTTGATTTTCTTGTTATCGTTTAACGTTTGTTTGCAAACAGAATCATTCTCAACAATTCACTGGATGCTTATCTACAAATAAATCTAAATTGCACAAATATCAGAAACGTTTGTTGTATATTCCGTTTGCTGTTATCCGTTTCTCTCATTTCTTTTTTCGATGATTTTGGACATTTCAAATTGTGTGTATTCTCGCAAAATCCCAACACATGTGCTTGCATCAAATAGAAAACATGAAGAAAAAAAAATCAATGCCGCGCGCTCACTGATACATTCGGAAGAAAGTCTAAGAATAAAGTTAGCACATTGTTCCCATATTATTTGAAATTTTATTATAGAGAATCGGTGGTTCGTATTTTACGTCTTTTTTATTTATTTATTTTTTTTTTGTTACTTAACAAAATATCGCCCAAACTTCAATTGATTTCAAAGTGAAAAGGCGAAAATAAAGAGATTTTCTTCCCATTGAATCAATGTTGTTTGTGCTACAAAAAGCAAAAAGTAGTTGCAAAATGCGGCAAAAGTATATAACATAGACATATATATACCTATGAAATGGGAAGCAAGTTCGTGTATAAATGTCGCGCTTTACAGAGAAAATAAATAAATAAAAAAGTAGAAGTAGCGAAAATAAAAACAATATTTATTGTACGTCTAATACGTTTAGAAAGTCGTACGAATCGTTATAACATGTGAAATATGCGAAGCACAAATGGTTGGTGAATGTGGCTTTTATTATTCCGATGAAAATTTATTTCGGCGATATTGTACAAGCCCAAGCGATTTGCACATAAATATAAACGTGATAAGATTTAAAACGGTTGTCATGCAATATAGTTTTCTTCTCTTTTTGTGTGTGTATTTTCTGTTTTTGATGAACTAAATAAAAGCTAAGTGAGCCCATTCGAAATGAATGCTGCAAACAGCAGCGATAAAATTTGTATTCATGAGCGATTGACATTTTTTTGTTGTTGTTGCTTGGAAGGGAGGAGATTACACAGTTTCACCTTAATTTTATGCCATTCGGATAGCGTGCAATAAAAAAATACCAATCAGAAATTAGAATGCAGTACTTCCTGTTTCTTTCTTTTTCGCTCTTCTACATTTAATGTCGCCTCCATTTACATCCCAAAAACAGACGCAGGATAAAGACGACCTGAAGCAAGCGTACAGCAGCCACTATATTTAATTTTCTCCGATTATCGTCGTCTTGGCAATAATTTCATTTGTTCGATTCACAAATGAAATGGAAATGCGACAGAGAAAAGATCTCCAAAAACCGATAACAATTTTTGTGTCACTCGATGCTACTTTAAACATAAAAAATATTTCGGGGGGTGGTTGATTTTTTTCAATTTGTCTACTGAAACAACAATTTTTCAGCTTGATCGGGCTTTGTCCGATCTCTTAAAATGTTCAATGATTTATTTACGACGAATAATCTAAATTCCAATTATTCAAGCCAAATGAATTACATGTAATCCATTACACATTATCACAATTTGTGTTCAACATAATCTTATTCTCACATACATTTTTTTCATCCCTATCAACTTATTTTTTTCGAATGGAAGTTTTCAAACGACCCCTTGAGTTTTTAAGATGCAGTGCACATGAAGAAGAATGTACATACATATATCGTATTTGTTTTGTTCGTGCTTGATGCCACGCTAGCTACGTTCAAACGGCAGGTGCATTTTTAACATAATCTCAAATTGCAATGGTTTTGTTGTTATTCTGCAGCAACAAATAAAAATGCATGTGCACGCGAAAAGCGCCACTCACACAATCAGAGAAAAGAAAAAAATAGCGTTGATATTACTATTGTTGTTTCCAAATTTTGCTTCTATCATATTGCCATCTGCATGATTGCATTCTGCAGACGTTTCTCTTTTCAACGGTATTCGAATAGATTTGCTCTATTTCAATCTCTTCGAGGACTATTGTGATTTTGTTATGTGTATTTTTTCGTTCATCGTTTGCCAACGATTCCGATTTCGAACGATTTTTCTCGACATTTGAACTTACGGTTATAAGTTGTGATCAGGCATATGTGTGCACTTTGTTTTTTTTTCTGCTTAACTTAAACGTTTTTTTAAACTGCATTACCGTGTTTCGCATGTATGTGGATATATATATGGTTTGAAGAATGATACCATTTCAAAAAAAAAATTGAGTGAAAACAAGTTGGTTCACTTTAGTCGTTTTTCCTGTGAATGAGATGCAAGTCAAAATCTTAATTTGGCTGTAATTTTTTTCTTTCGTTTAAACCTGAAAAAGTTGCAAATACTACAAATACACATTAATTTAACCAGATTGAACGTTTTCGGGAACGACGAAGAATATCGAAGTGCAAAATCCTGGGAGTAACAAGCACACTCTCTAATAATGAAATCAAATACGATGGACAATGTGAACTGAATTGTGATCCAGATAATAGAGGATATTTTTTTTTCGCTCGAGCGGGGAGCAAAACTATTATAAAACCGAAAACATTGTTACGAACGCTCTTTGATGTCGACGTGCACTCGCATATTGTACATTTTTCAAATCATTTGTGTATATCTTTCCTTCATCTTCTGGCGTTCTTCTTTGCCCCCATTAAGTCGTCGACTCCTTGCTTCTTTTCGTTTAATCTTCGTTCTCGATTATTTCCCTTTTCACCAATGTTTTGCACATTTTTGTTCCCTTTTTCTCTTTCGTTTCTGTTGTTTTTTTTTCTCTAGGTGTGGTTGTAATTCTGTTTCCCTTTTCATTTTCCATTTTACATTGGTTTCGTTTCCCATTGTGTCGACCGATGGGATAGAACGGAAAGCGTTCTTCTATAAATAAACACACTGTTTCATTCGTTTTACGGATTTTCTAAACGGTTCTTTGAATGACGTTCCATAAGTTCACTTAGCCTTCTTCGCCATGGCGAGTGCTAGGTTGTACATATTTTTGCGTGTATGGTCAAAGAGTTCTCTGAAATCGGCCCATTGGCTAAATTAATTTGAAACGCGAGTGTCCAAACTTCACAGAAGAAGAGAAAAAAAATGTTCAATTACCATCAGTTTTTCATGTTTAACATGGCGTTTTTTTTCTTCATCATTTTTTTCATGCGATTCTAGCAATTTCTTTGCCATTTTCTTTTTAATTTCATCCATATTTTCTATTAAGCTAGAAATATCGTTTTCTCTAGTGCTGTCCCCCTTTTCTTTCATTATTTTTTTTTTCTTCATTGATTTACCACATTCTTCTCGCCTTCAGTGTTCACCTATTTCAATAATGTCAATTTTATCTTTGTCACTCTTTCCACTGAAACCATAATTGTGCTGGTGGTGGTCGTGCTGATGACGTTGAAATCGTTGATTTCAACTTCATCCCATCACTTTTACTCTTTAACATCCATTTTGCGATCGTTGCACAAAGGTCAAGTACTAAAAGTAATAAGTTTTATTTAGTTCGTCTTCAAACGTGGTGCACACCACACACACACACACACACACTGTTGTTGTACACTTTACTGTATATTGTGCTCAACATAGCACATGAAAATGAAGGCGAATGAACATGTTTTTAACAACGTACAAAATATTTTTCCTCTTGTGCATTGTGATGCAATTGTATTGGGAGTGTATTGTATTTTTAGATTTGCTTGCAATGGTGTACGATGTGTATGTGTGTGTGTGATTCGATCGTCCATTGCTTCTATTCCATTCAAGCGAGATGCTTTCGATGTTCAATTGTTATTTTTCCGTCAACAAATGAAAAAAAAAAACATTGTCTGTGGATAACATCCGACCTCCAACGGTGACTTCGTTTGTCATTTTCTTAAGCTCCAATTCCCATTTCCGTGTGATGTTGTCGTTGTCGCCTTTTTCATGACATTTCTTTCAATAAATTGATTATTGAATTCTGGAAACGAAAGCGACACAAAAAGAAGTGGCGAATAGGAAGAGAGAAAAAAAACCGAACGAAATAAATAAATACAGGAAAAAAAAACTTGTTTACTTGTTGTTAATTCTTTTTCTTCTTGTTCAATCAACTGCAACGTTGCTTTATATATCTGCATGCCAGTGCCGACTACTGCCACTGCTGCTGTACACTTGATCGCACAATTGCTATGTAAAGTTCATATTGTGTTTGGCTGTGTGTCTATGGCACATTCTATGGGGTTACTCACGAAATTCCATTGAAACTAGTTTTTCTAATTTTGATTATCCCAATACGTCGTGCTACTGAAAATTAATTTATTACTTCACGCAAATCGAGTATCTACAAGCTAAGAATCCAGGTTGATTGAAAGCTGTCACAGCTGTCTCTGACTGCCAAACACACATTTCCGATTTCAAGTTGAACAGTTTGTCAAAAAATTTACGCGAATAATTAAAAATAAGTTTATTCTTATAACAAGATAATAGCCGTAATATTCGCCAGTTGTTTCCAGAGCATGCCATGTGTGTGCATTCTTAATTTTTACTAGTTTCTCTACTTTGCAGTGGTCGTGAGTTGCCCCATAACACATTCTTTTTATTGTTATTGGCAATTGCAACCATTTGCGGTGGCTACGATGTAACTGCAAAGTGCAACCAAAACAGGCTAACGTTTTATGACCAACAATCAAATATGAAATGTGCGGACTGTGTATCGCATTAGATATGAACATTAAAAAGTATCTCAATCGTCTTTTCAAAATGGTGTTCGGTTCGTCTCTGACGCTTTTCTCCACATTAAAATTGAAATTGTGAATTTGCCAAATGAGCGAATCGTGTAAATTTAAATTCAAATGTCAAGAGAATGAAAATAAGTGAGAGAGAGAAAATGATAGTCAATTCATACTTTGATGCATTGAATGAATGTTCGACTTTTCGTTGGTAAAAATGGTTCGTTAATTCAGCTCGATGTTGAGTATTTTCATTGAGTTTCGTTGCGATGGTTGATGGTGGAAGAGAGCAAAATTTTCAGATGAATGTGACGTGGTTGATATTGGAATATTATGCAAATTATTTAAATGAATGTTGATTTACAGGTCGTCCCGATCAAGTACATAATTGTACAATAACGAATATTTCGATGACATCGCTGGGCATTCGGTGCTTGGAAGGCTTCAACGGTGGTCTCACTCAATCATTTATGTTGGAAGTGCGTGACATGAGCACACAGGTAATAATGACATTGAATGACCAAACTGTGTTGCGCCATTTTCAATTCAAAAACGGAAAATTGCATCTCACCGTGTATACGAAAGAATATAAAGAATATAAATGTTTACGATGTTGAATGGAAAATGGCGCAAGAAAATCTTACACTAGAGATCCATTTCGCGGTGTCGTGCTGTCGACATCCATCATATCTAATAAAACAATTTTCTGAAAATAGAAACACAACACACGCTACATTTCTTTTCTTCTCTTTCATTTTTCTCTGCAATAGGATATAAGAGCGAATTTTACTTCACCGGTGGCAAGGTTTGCCGTTTCAAATTTACATCCGGGCAGTGTGTACATCATTTCCATTTACGCATTCAACTCGAAAGGACGTTCAGATCCAGCCGTTCTGCCGGCAGCAATGCTTCGACCCGCCGAAAAGCCGCTTACTGCCGAAAAAGGTGAGATGGCAATAAAATGGTTTTTTCCATATCGTTGTTGTTGTCTTTCTTCTCGTGTTGTTTTTTTTTTTCGTCGAAGGAAAATTTTTATTGGCAAAAAAAAAGAAAACACTTTACAGATAGAAATAGACATACAACAAAAAGAAATAACAGTGTACAGCTTCGGGTATTCAACTACTAGCGAACACCTCACAATACACAATTGTTCACGATTCTCTCTTTCTTATTTTTCACTTTGCCATTTTCGTGCATGACAAAATGGCACATTTTCCATGGCACAAAACAATGAGCGAGTGCCTCAAATGGCAAGCACAAATCCTTTAATTTTCATGCTTTGCACATCGCATTAAAGAGAATAATATGAATAAGCAGGAGGAGAGGGAGAGAGAGAGAGAAGAGCTTTGCTTTGCTTTCATTTTGTATAACGTCCACTCGTTGTGTCGTTGTCTTGATGCTTTTCCTTATTCGTGCACATTTTGCTCATGCTGTCGTACATTTCTTTTGCATTTCTCAACGCATGTTTCTGCTGTGCAAATGTAACGCTTGTCAAAAAAGTTGCCAGTTATGATACAAATAGCAAATAAATTATTCATATTTAAGCTGGTTTTCTACATGTGCATAGCTCACGTCTCTCTTTCTTTTTTTTTATCTTCTGCTCCCGCCGTGAGTCTCACGTCTTTTCTCTTTCCATTTTGTCTCTCTATCAAAGAAATCGTGAAAATAAAATCGCAAAATTTCCTCTTTCTCTCACTCTTTGTCAAGTGAACAAGTTATGAATTTATAAAGCTTGAATGCTTTACACGAATTTTCTGAACATTTCATTTATTTATGCACGCACTGATTGCCATAGAAATGCATCTCAATCAACATATTGCGCATTTTTTTGGTAAAATATCATTTCATTTCATTTTGATGTTTGATGTTGTTGTTGATGTCTTTTATGAAATAGAACGACCCCGTGCACCGATTGCCTTGACGCCGATGCTTTCGGTTGTTATCGGTTTATCGGCAGCACTTGTGATTGGTGCATTGGCCATAATCGTTGTATTGAGATTGCCATGCGGTGGACGACGACGAAACCGTTTCAAGCGAAAGGAATTGTCGCAAGGTACAACCACCGGTGAAGGTTCACCAGGTCCAAGTGATAAGAGTATCGGTAGCAGAGAGCTCGATGGAAACGAAAGCGATGAAAAAAATCCAGATATTATACCAGACACAGTTGATTCGGATGATCAGGTAAGCAAATAAATCAATTTTTTTGACATTTCATCATTTAATATTGAATTTGAGCATTAAATCAATTGCTTAAAATGCAAACTAGTCAATATATGAATTTGCTTATTGGTTATGATTTTGAATGCAATCAAATAAATTCATATAAACAAATCCATAAATTTATGATATATATTCACATAACCAAGAGACCACTTGGTTTACTCAATGCTTTGTTTATCATATTCTGATTTTATGATTTGAATGTGGGCCGCCATTCACATGAACATTATTATTTCATTCCCCGAAAATTCAAATAGTTTTGCTCAATGAAAATGGTCGATAAAAAAAAATTGCTCATGCCATTTTTCTCATTCCGATTTTCAAACTAATTCCAATTTATTTATGCTGTCTAATTAGTAAATTAGAGCAAACATAATATAATATTGCTGGGAATACGTGTATGCACAGTGTGTTTATACACAGCAGCAAGAATAGCAGCACCTTTCCAAAATATGTGTACATTCTCATGTCAAATTTTATTTAGCTCCGAATTTCCACTTTATTATCTTCTCGCATACAATAAATAATAGATCAACAAAAGCATTCGACTTGCAAGCAAAAAAGATGGTGCAGATAAACGGATATGGATGAGACGGTGTTATACGATGAGACGGAAATATTTCTATATATAAAATATCCTATAAATTTATGAGAGAGACTTAAAACTCCACATGCACATATACATTTGGGTGAGAAACCATCAAATGGTTATAAGTTTAATATAAGGAACATACCTGAGCGCCTTCCATTTTCAACACCAATTACTGATGAAGTCATTTATGGAATAAAATGGAATGTTTTTGATTCTATTTGGATAGTTCAAATACTAATTAAACTATGAGAGTCATTCTCTCTCTGCTCAGAAATTCTCGCATTTTCATCATCCAGCATTTTGTTCTTTCGTCTCACTCATCTTTCGTTCCGATATAAACTTGTGTCGTTTATAACGGAAAGTTTTTTGTCGGTTTTTTTTTTATTCTTCAATTTTGAACGATCATGTGACAGAGAGATTAAGTGACAGACACATCGATGGCAAATCGAAATTGTCTATCATACGAAAATAATAATGCAATGCAATCTATTCAAATGCCTCTTATATAGAAAATCGATATCCAAACATTTCCAAAAATGCTAAAACTACACTTCGCCAACTAAATAATTTCAACATTTTCTCTCTCTCTCTCTTGACAGTTTCAAACTATTTCTCTGAATTTCTCAATTTCTCACACTCTGTCAATCAATATATCTAACCCATTCACCGCCGTTTTGCAATACTAGAAAAGTTGTTGGTTTTTTATTTTCTCTGTCACTAGTTTAAGCTTTAGTTAGCAAAAACTTTCAGACACATATTGAGCTGAAAAACCAAATACACTTGTATATGGGATAAAATGAAAACGATAATATTTTCCATTGCTATCCATCAGATCGAGTACATTCATCGAAGACAACATATTTCAACAATTGATACGAACAGTCCACAGCGTGGCGGAGGTGGCGGTAGCAGTAATGTTAGTTGCACTGTAAATGCAGTACCAAATCAAACATATGTATCAGCTAGTGTACCAATCCATACGGGACACGCGCCAGTAAACTACTGTACACTTCGAGCAAATGGTAGCAGTAGTCAAGCGTCGGCAAATATGGGCTCAACATTATCGATGGTAAGTATTAAACGACTAATTAATATTTATTAAATGACATTCGAAAAGTTTGAACTTCATTCGAGAACATTTTCAATCCCCAAGAAAGTTATAGCGATAATTGATATGATTTCTCGATTGCTTGACCATTTTAAATATTTAAAAAATTGCTTGCAAAAACAAAATGCTATTGTTTTCGGAACGTATTTGTTTAATTTAAACTCAATATTATACAGTATGATGAAGAGAAGGAGGAGGAGGGGGCAGGCAAATCTGACCTCACACACTACTGACGGTATAACAATATTAAAAGTTTCTCCATGTCATTAATGCACAAGAAAATTGAAGCTAAATATCTGTCTCTTGTGAAAGATACACCGGATCGTATAGCACGCTTCAAATACTAATTTTCAATGTGATTTATATTTGTATAAAACAACTTGAACCTTTCTCATAAAAAATGGAACAACTTCATTAAATATAATGATGCGTGAAGCACATATTCTTTGTCACTTTATGAACCATCACTTTCTAGCGCGTCATTCAACTCGATATAGTTACACTTCTTCGCTTATTGTGTTGCTGGGTGGATTTATGTTTTCACTTGCAAACTTGCAACTTAAAAACCGGCAAGTGCAACTTGCCAACCAATCAACATAAAATGAAGGTGTACTGTAACAGCTTTTACTCCGAAAACATATATCTCTCTCTCACACATTTTGCTACTTGAGAGCCACACAAAGTATGTGGGGCAAAGTATTCGTTTCACTTTTCATAATGAAACTGAACTCTTTTCGCTATAACATGCTAGGAAAAGCATTTGGCCATAATACCACTCCAAAAATAAGTAAATATAGTTTAAAAAAAGAAGTTCCTTTTATTCAATATATGATATGACTAAACGTGTCAATGTCCATATCAAATATTTTGAAGGTTAAAAATGTTCATCATCTCAATTTAAAATTGTTACCCAAATTTCATCCGAATAGAAATTATACAATGAATGATTTATTCATTAATTGTGTATGAGTAGATGATGATGATTATTATGTGAAATTTGTTTGTACAACTAAGTGTGTCTTCAGCCATTCTCGGAATTTAATCCAAGATTAAATTTACTATTTCAATTAAAATTTTACATTTCAATAAATTTGCTGTATGAGATTTCAACATCAATCATACATAGTATGCTTCTTCTTGTTATTTATTCGTTTGCGCAACGAGAGAAAATCGCACCGCATTATTTGTAGCATAATTGATGCGATCCTTTCACTTAACGAGATATGTGTGTGTATAGATGAAAACAAAACAAATAGTTTCATAAATCAATAGGAAAGAAAATTGTAAAACTTGTATATACTTGTTTAGTCGAAACAATCTCGGGTAATATAGAGTGTGTATCGTGTTTTTGCATACAAATTGTATACAAGACGTGACAGTCGAGTTGTATCTGTTTTTACTAAAATTGTCAAATGTGTGTACATTTGCATGACAGATTTTCGCGGTTGTTTTTGTTTTAACTATGTCGTACACAAACTCCTTCTCGTGAGTTTTTTTTTTGTTCCCGGCTTGTTCTTTCGCTCTATTGCATTAGAAAAAATCATCGACACACACCGGCCATTGTATTTTCCTGTGAAACAACGTTTTCCTTCTCTATTTGTCAACTGCATAATAAAAATGAATCGTATGCGTATATGCGCTTGCATGTGCTGTGAAAACAACCGTAAAGCATATCAATTCCCCATTGAAGACCGACAACCAAAACACGAACAACGAACAAAAAAAAAATCGCACGCTGTAGATAAAATTTTAATCCGGAAAATAATACGATAACAATATTAAGAGAGAATTTTTTTTTCTCTCGTGGTTATGGGTTCTGTTTTCTCTTGCTACATTTTAGTTACATAACACATACACCAACAGCAATGATGAACAACGAAATGCGTTAAAATAAAATGCGGCGGTGGCGACATATTCAAATGGAATTCGTTGTGTGGCGGTTTCTCTCTCTCTCGCACTCTCTTGCCCCCAATCTCTCTCTATGGACATTGTTTGGCTGCTTCCTCTGTTCTGTTTTGCTTGCATATTATATAAATGTTGATAGTGAATGAACTCACAAATAGTTGTAAATGTTGAATGTAACACGCGGTCAGAGAAAGGGAGTGGGAGTAAGAGTGAGAAAAATTCACCATGAAGTTGAGGCATTGAGGAAGACAGCAATAGCAATAACGGAATGGTCGACAGAACAAAAAAAAATTATGGATATAAATGAACTTTGCGGCCAGAGCCGAATAACCTGCCTGTCTCAAATATAGTTGTAACATAATCATTTTTTCTCTCTGCCATTCCACATTTTTATTTATCGTTACCGCGCTCTCAAACTTCCATTTCTCTCTCTCCCTCCCTTACTCCACCGCCCTTTGGCTTTCATTTTAAATTCACTTTGCGATTTGAGTGCGTGTGTTTGGTCAATTGTAACAATGGTACTGTTTATTCTTATTCAAATTGTGGCATTAAATGCATAAATTATTCCGCTGTTAAGCGTTTTTACCGAGAAAAACATACCAATTAATTCCATATATATGTGTATGTGTTTGAAATTGAATGGCAATCCGTTATGAAATCGACAAATAAGAGTATATAAAAAAAGGAGTAATTGTAGAGCTTTCTATACAAAATAGACACACGATTTCGCCTATGTATTCGTTTGCCACTCTACTGTGTGCGAAAAAGCCAGGAGTATTGTTTGCGATACAATATGAAATTAAAAAGTGAGAACTGGATGACATACCCAGAGAAATAAAATAGTTCTATTTATGAAAAAAATGGTGACATGTTGTGATTTATTTTTGAAAAGTTTTTTTTTTCTTTTCCTTTTTTAGACATTTGATCGATTAACATAACATAAAAAAATTAAAAACTCAGTTTTGCTCAATGGCTGTCACTGATCAGCAAATTTTATTGCTTCGATTGTGGGGGCAACATTCGCAATTTTCCTCATACAAAAGGACTGTTTTCACTAAACCATTTAGATTAATAAAAAAATTGCATTTTGCATCGATTGCACGTTATTGCGTGTGTATGACACATACATTTAAGTACATAATAAAATTAGAATTAAAATTATGAAAAAAATGCGGAACAATAATTGAATTTTTTTTTAACAAATTGCATTACATGTGAATTTTGACGCCAGAGCTTATTCGTAATTTGATTATTATTTGTAATGTACAAAAGCAAACACACACACAAAGAGAGAGAGGGGGGGTGGCGTCTATGTTTGCTTGCACGCTCAATCGCGGTTGCATATTTTCAATAAACGGAATTTAAAATGTCACACGCTGGCTGGTGGAATGTCAGCATTTTTGCATTGAATAGGTAAAATTATTTCCTTTTATCATAATAACAACATGTGTTTCTCACGCCTGATGCCATCGAGCAAAAACGATCACAGGCAAACGCACGCCACTCTCTTTCTCTTTTTCTCTCCCGTTCGCTTCTTCGTTGCGAAGTGACAGAAATCACAAACGCGCTATCGTTAATCGTTGTTGTTTATTGTCATTCGTCGCATGTTTACATAGTATAAAATAACTGCACGAGATATGAGGCATCTACAGTGCACAGTCCTGTGACACACACACACATAGATATGCACATAAAACAGATGGCAATAACATGCTAGAAAATGCAAAAAAAACGCCCATGGATGGACAAAAAAAAATACTCACCCATAAATCCACAATTGGTACAACAATAACAAAAAAAAGTCTACCAATGCAACACGAACGAATGAACGATGGAATATCTGGTGCATAGTAAAAAATTAAAATATAGCACAGAATATAGAACTTTTATTTCCGCTTAAATTTCCGTGAATCTGTCTCTTCGAAATAATTATTTTAATCAAATGTTTTGTGATTTAAAATGCAAAATAATGTTATTGTTGATAGGGTTTTCGATCAAGTATGCCGTTCACAGTCTGATATGCATATGCTTTGCTGCAGCTGAGAACCACATAAAGTGTTGACGCAACATCATCATCACTTTCATTTTGACTTGTTTTTTTTTAATTGCCTCTTGAAAATCTGCACAATTCTATTCCACATATTTGCATGAATTTGCTGTAATTTTTTTTTCTAACGAAATAGATTTTCGTTGAGCTGGAACATGCTGAAAATATTCGTTTCCTCTACGATTGCGTTAAAATATTAGTAGCCAAAATAAAATAATGAAATCAAGTTTAGAAAACTTGAAATTTTCCATGACAATTGATAGAAACTCGTCACTAAACTCATCACCAAACTCGTGTGCAAAACTGAAAAATGCAGACCGTGCGAATGCTACTTGTTCTGCTTAAAATGGAAAATTTAAATGTTTAATACAATTTAAAATAAAAAATTGAATAAAAGTCCTTCAATGTTTCACACTTTGTTTTCGCTCATTTCAATTGAAAAAGTATAGTTCCCACATGAAAGTACTGTTATTCTCGTAAAATCTTGACTACACTGATGACAGATCTGTTGAATTTTTGTCTTTGTATTGGATAATATGAGACTACAACCATTTTTGTGACAAAATTTGTCCCAAAATGGATTGGAGTCTCATATTAACTAACTTCATTACTATATTTATTCTCAATATTAAATAATTATGATTAATTCTGTTATAAAATCGAATAATTCTAAACATATTTCAAGAGATAAATTAAAAATAAACTTTGAATTACTCAAAATTAATCTGTATTACATTCAATTATGAAAATTAATCGGAAACAATATTACGTAAATTTTACGTAATGCGAGACCATAAATGTCAAAATTGTATCATCTTATCTGAAGCATTCAGCGTCAGACGCTTATTTTAAACAAACCAAGCAAAAGCAATAGTTTAGTTCAATTACTGTGATTATACATATAAATATATATTATAAATTATTGTTGTTGTTTTTGAATTTATTCAAAAAACATGAATACTTCTGATGTGGTGTGGTAAGTTTATATTCAAATTACGAAATCATGTATGAAATATAACAACTTTTGATGATTAGGGCGAAAATGCGGCTATGCAGTTTCTGGCCGGCCACCATGATAAAAAATCCGCCACCCGAAATAAAAGATAAAGGTCTACCTGGGCAAATATGCGTGTTATTTTTTGGCACAAATAAATAGTAAGTTTGATGACAGATTTGAAATATTGTGTATCCATAACTTTGTATTTTTTAGTGGCTTTGTGAATGCTGAACTTGTGAAAAATTACTCTGAGCACCGTGAAAGATATTCGGCGAAAAAAACAAGAGGTTTGGCCAATGCAGTAGCTAAATGTGATGAATTTCTCGCCAATCCGGTAAGTGATGAGTAAAGCATATTTACATTTCTTTTTTCATACTATTTTTTTCATTGATTTCAGTCCAACTCTAAAAATGTGCAAGCTGATTTGAAAAACGGAAAAGTTTCTTTACAAAAGTCACTGCCATTTGAAATAAAGAAAGAACCAACTGACGAAGACTGTTATTTAGAAGAACAAATAGACGTTAATATACAACTCAATCAAACTCAAAACCCTGAACAGACATGTAACAACGCGGAAAACCAACGGGACTTGAAATGTGAAGACAAGTTAATACTTGGTTTGAAAGAACAGTTACAAAAAAATTCTGACGGAATGAAACGTGAAATGATGACGCTTAAATCGAGTATAAATTCATGGACAGCCCAATATGATAAGCAGCTACGTGATTTGAAAGAATTGGTCAATTCAAAAAATTTAGTGGCCAATGAAAATTGCGACAAAAATATTGAAGCAGACCGACATCAGATTAAAATACGTGAGTTGGAAAAACAGCTAACTGAGAGTAATGTTGAATATGCAAATTTATTATCATTAATGGAAGACATGAAGAAAAGTACATCTGAACAAGAACTTTTGTTAAAAACAAATACATATAAACACAATGCAGAAATTTCGGTGTTAACAAGCAAACTTCAAAACATAACCAAACAACATGATGTGTTAGTCAAGAAAAAACAATCGGACGCGACGGAAATTTCGGCTTTGAAGGCGAAACTTGGTGAGATGGTTGGCGCAACGCAATTGGTCACTGATAAAGTGAGTGAAACTTCACCTGAACACGATTTGCTTTTGAAAACGATGTCACTTCAACATGCTGAGGAAATTACGTCATTGAAGGCAAATAATGACGATATAACCAAGAAATATGAAGACACGGTTAAGGCAAAACAATCGGCCGTTGATAAAATGAATGGATTGTCAGCTCAACATGAGTCATCGCTAAAATCCATGTCGGATCAACACGTAGCGGAAATTTCTGCATTGAAGACAAAACTTGCTGAGATGTTGGACGCGAAGCAATTGGTCACTGATAAAATGAATGGATTGTCAGCTCAACACGAGTCGTCGCTAAAATCCATGTCGGATCAATAC